TGAAACTGTTTCTCCTCACTCCACTTGGAATAGAAGTCACTCTCTTCAGGAACCTTCCATTCGTTGGAGTCACCAACCTTGTAATCTTTTCCGAATGGATGGATCTTTCTCGGTGGTGGTGGTGGAGGAATCGTTGGATGCTCATGGACGACAAAAACGACGAGTTTCTGTCCGGCTACGCATTGAGAATGATTTGAGGTGATGAAGAAGTGATAACCTGGTTCCGTGAGAGTCACGACATCGTGCCCTTTGTTGTAAACAGCTTTAGGAGAATGAGAGTTGCAGAATTGGTATTCCAAACGACTGGAAACTTGAGTGACGTCGTTGGCGTTGCCATCGTATTCGAACATCAGAGAATCTCCCACTTGGAATTCCTTACGCTTAGTCCATTCATAATAGGTACCGCCCTTCTTCGCTCTCCATCCCTCCGAGTCTCCCACTTTGTAGATTTTTGCCGAGCAACAAATTCCCATTAGAATCATCACGAGCACGAAGCAGAACATTCTTGTTGTCGCCATAGTAATTATTAGGAATCAGCAGAGAACGTTGATGAGTATGTTGAGTATGAGAAAACATGACCACCCTAACTCTCTTTTTATAACATCTTTTATGGAACCTAATCCTTGCCGCTTATGGATTTTACTGTAATGAATCCCGTTTGATATATGTATGTTTTCTTTTTCCTTTTTCAAAAATCTCTCGAATCTTTTTCGGATTAGGCTTGTGTTTGATTTTCATTAAGATGCACTAGTAAAAATCTACCACATAGCCACGGTAGTGCCACTACAAAACCGTGGCTTTATTAAAAAAGCCACGAAGCTACCACGCAAGAGCCACGAAAGATACAAAGCCACGGAAAACGTGAAATATGGCCACGACTTTGCCATGAAAAGTCTTTGTGGCAATTATAGCCACGGTAAAGCAACGAAACTTTCGTGGCCTACCTATAGCCACGAATTGGCCACTATCATGTTCGTGGCCTTATTTTTTGTTTCTTTGTGCCGACATCAAATAGTGAATAACTATACATAGCCACGCTTTGTTCATGGCTTTACCGTGGCTATGTTTAACTTTTTGACTTGGAAGCAGAGAAAGATTCGTGTGGCAGTGATATTTTATCTAGCCACGAATTTATCGTGGTTGTGGCGTGGCTATGTTCATTAATATATCCACCTCCCGTGAGACATTAAGAGCTTTTGTTCTTCAAACAAATTTTACTAAGGAAAATGTCTTTTTTTCTTTGATCAAAACAAAAAAATATGTCTTTCTACTTTGATTCAAGGGAATGGATGGATCAGAGAATTGATCCTCAGAGTAATTCTGTTTCAGAAGTGTTTCTCGGAGGTATAAATGCATTTCTTCAATTTGCGTGTAGTCAAAGAGATTACAAGGAGCGAAAAACGTTATTGTGTCCGTGTGCTCGATGCAAAAATGTAAAGCAACGAGATGCAAAAGTTGTCTCAAGACATCTATTCTTATACGGTTTTAAGGGAAATTACTATGTTTGGACGAGTCATGGAGAGAAATTCTACACTGTTGGTGAGAGTTCTGGAGCGAATCATTCAGCAGGAGAAGAGGAAATGTTGGAGAATCCTACTTGGAATGCTCATGAAGATCACTACCAAGGTGATTCAGAAGTACCAGCGGACATTTCACCACCATACATAGTGGAACCTATAGAAGAAACAGACGTAGCAGAGCCATATCGTGATAGTGTTTTTGAAGCATTTGAAGCAGCTAGTCAACCTCTGTACGAAGGATGTGCAGACGGAGTATCTCAATTGTCTCTTGCTTCGCGGATGATGAAAGTGAAGACAGATTATAACTTGGCGGAAGCTTGTGTAGATGAGATATCTGAAGTATTTAAAAAAATGCTTCCGCAACCGAATAATGCTCCAGCAACATATTACGAGACTAAGAAACTGACACGAGGGCTTGGGTTACCCCTACATAAGATTGATGTTTGCGTGAAGAATTGTATGCTATTTTGGAAGGAGGATGCGAATTTGGTTAGTTGTAGGTTTTGTGGAGAAGATCGCTACTACCCAAATAATGGAAAAGGAAAAAATAAGCCAAAGCAGAGAATGTTTTATTTGCCTATTGCAGATCGCCTGAAACGTCTATACCAACTCGAG